TTAAAGTAAAATACAGTGGAACCTCGGTATACGTCTGCTTTAGAATATGTCCAATTCAGAATACGTCCTGTTTGAATGAAACAAATTTTGTTCGGTATACGACTTAATTCAATTATACGCGCCATCTATGAACAAGTACTGTAGCACTATCGGTGTACTACACCAGACTAGACGTTCGCGGTTCTACGGTTTATAACTTTGTTAAATTTCTTCAGATTTTAATTTGTAAGTAACATTTTATTATTTTTATTAATCATGAATTGCAAAAGGGCAACAGAAAAATAAAAAAATGACAATGGAAATGAAAAAAGAGATTGTTGAGAAATATGAAGGTGGCATGCGTGTTCGAGATTTAACTGTTGCATTCCGTATTCCGAGAACGACGATATCGACATTCGTGAAAAATAAAGACATTATTAAATTTGCTAATGTTGCAAAAGGGGTTAAATCAATTTCTAAACAGAGATCGAAGACATTAGATCATGTCGAGAAATTGCTTTTGCTTTGGAATACTGAAAAACGGTGTGCCGGCAACAGCGTATCGAAAGAAATTATTTGCAAGAAAGTTAAAAGGATACATGATGATCTCATGAAAAATCAAGCAGAAACTAGCGCAGAAAGCGAGGTGTTTAAAGCCAGCCATTTTTTTAAATGAGAATGGATTCATCATTTTTACATTACTTCTTATGGAAAAGGTTGGTTTGGTATACGTCCTATTCGGTATAAGTCCAAACACCAGGAACGGATTAAGGTCGTATACCGAGGTTCCACTGTATTCTATTTTTTGTTATTGTAATAATTTTTTATTGTTTATCAAATAATAATAATACTAATAATATTAAATGGTAAAAAATTATTTTAAAAACAAATAGAAAAAGATTTAAATGTTAATAATATCTTAAATACACTATGTGTGAAGAGTCATAAGAAGTCATGATGAATCAAAGATGGCGTACAGGCAGACCCGCCAGTAACTAATTCATTAGTGAAATTAGTGTAATTTAATTTCTTATTTGGGTTTTATTGTTATGGAGGGAGAGGAAATCAATTGCATAACATTTACTAATACAGTAGAGCATCGATTATCTGACCCCCGATTAACTATCACATTGGTTAACCGACCGTTCTAGTTGCCATTTCCCAATTCAAAAGTGGTTTTCAAGTAGTTGAAGATTATGTTTCTTCTATTTTGGGGGCTATTAATTACTACTATTATTAATATGTGAAGAAGTGGAATGGGGTTGGATCGTCTTCCTTTGTTTGTTTGATTCCTCGACCAGGAAAGCCTTTGACCTCAACTGATCACACTGAATCAGAGTTGTGCACTTTGAATTTTTGCCTCAAGGTCAAACAGTCAACCATCAGTACTATGCAGGTATTTTGAAACTACTGCANAAGTTGGTTAATAGCGATATACTAATATACTAATTACATACTATTAATATACTATACTAATAATGTATTTTTTTAATTCTTTTCGGTTATCCGATTTTTTCAGTTACCCGACCAACCCGAGTCCCCAATTGAGTCGGATAATCGATGCTCTACTGTATATTTATGATAAATAATAAAATAAACACTACTGAACACTGGTAATTAGTCATGGGTTTTTGCCTAACTAGGCTGGTTTTGTGGAGTTTTGGTTTCTTCACATGTCTAACAGAAAATGAGGGACAGATTTCCCATAGAAACTCCTCCTGAGAAGAACTCTCTAAAATATTGCCCATCTGTTGCATTGACTTATCCCATTAATCCAATTTAAAGTGGCAAATGTTACTCTTAAAGCCACCACAAACTAGGCAATATCAAAGCAAACTAGTCAAAGGCAACATCAAATGAAATTTGTTCAATCATTGACTGCCAGAAATTGATTCAACATCTTTGTCATACCCTTCAATGAAAGCTATGTGTTCGATGCCTTTCAGTTCCAAGAAGTTGGATTTTTCAGATAATGATTGGTCACTCAAGTGCATTTGAAAGTTTGTAAGAAAGTTTGTAAGTGTACTGTAGGCCACAAAGATGCATGTTTGTGATGTAATCTTTGTCACATTTCACCCATATCTTTGCTACACTGGGATTACAAAACAGAAAGCTGTTTGATAAATTTTCACAGACATAAGAATATAAAGTATTTCATTGCTTTTACTGAAATTTATAAATCTATCAGTCCCGGATTTTGTTTTTTGTTTGTTTATTAAATTTTTGCCAAACAGACTGCCGAAGAAGCTAACATCAGCAAATCATTATCATAGGTTGTCACCATTTTACAAAACAAACTATCAAGCAATTGTTCATAGAGGAGTAGACAAAATGTTCATTTGTTCTGTAGAACTACATCATGAGTGATATCAAAAGTAGTGACATTGCACAATTGTCAAAAGAAAACAGTAACATGACCATAAAAATTGTCTCAGAAGTCACATCAGAAGTGATGGCATTGCCCAGTTTGCAGCAATTTAGCAAGAATGGTTGTCTTAACAGATATAAAATTAACATAAATTACTTCATATACTGCTTGTCATTATTTCCTTAAAATACTCAAATTTTTACCAGCAAAATTAATTATTGAGCATTTCTGGCCATCCAAGAAACTTTTGAAGTTAAATAATTTTGCTGGTCAAGATTTAAGTGTTTTAGTAAAACACCAAAAACTAGTTTATGAAACATAATTCATTCATTCATTTTTATTTAAGTACGTGGTACATAATGTCAACATTGTTGATTTTATTAAAGATACAAATACACTCTATTGTATTTGTATCTTTGGATTCCTTCTCATCCTTCAGCTTGTGTGCCGCCACTTTTCAGAACTGTTAATTGATGTCAAGAACTTATCTCCCCTTCCCTTAACATGGGATTTCTAGTTCAAACTCCTAAGATACCAAAATTTGTAAACTCTCTTTCCATGATGATATGTGTTTAACACAAATACTGTCTTCCTTAGTTGTGTAACGTGTTGCACAAACTTTCATGCTGTCTAATAAACATCTAGGTGCAGCAAATTGTGTCGAGTAACTCCTTTCCAATTTCTCCTCATTCCCTACTCCATCCTCTTACCCATAGTCTAACACACAATTGCATTATTGCCATCCGGATAATGCTCAAACTAGTTTAGTGGACATGACCTTCTTGGTGTCAAGAATTTCCAAGTGTAATCACTTGCATTCAGCAATAGGAAGGCTAAAATAAAACTCAATGAGCATTTCAGTGATGCCAGGACATCACCAGGCAACCTTCAAAGTGGTGTCAGAATTAACATACCACCATCAGAGAACCTTACAATATCCAACAATATGCATTTTGGAGTCAATCGCTTAGCAGATCTACTGTTCACTAAAACTGACAATCAGCTTTGGGAATCCTTATACAGAAGAGAGAATTACTAGAAATTTATCAGCATTCAAGATAGTTTTAAAAGATAAAAGAATATCAAATTTACAGTTTTAATTGGTATTATTAGACACCACTACAAAGTGTCTAACAATACCAATTAAAACTGTAAATTTGATATTCTCATTTTCTGTAATAATCAGCAGATCAACAACAAACAGAAAACGAAAGAGAACTAAACCCTAGGGACACGTCTTTAACGATTTCCAAAAAATCCAAAAACCGAACAATAGTGCACGAATGCACCTGGTAAATAAAGGGGGCTTTTTTAGATGTTCTTGATAATTTTAGACAAAAAGAATTATTGAAAACAGTTTGTAAACACAAAATTATAGAAACAACAACCACCACTTTCAAATTGACGTTTAAATGCAATTTGTATAAAATCATGGTATCATAAGTGAAAAAGCATTCATAATTTCATTAGTTTAGCACACGGTAACAGATAACTTTTCTTCAAATCGATCCGAACGTTAAATCACATCAAAATACAACAAAATATAATTTTAAAAAAGATTCAAATTAAAAAAGTTCACATAGGGATTTTTCCCTACATAAACACCCGGGAAAGGAGCTCGACGGATACTTATACAGCATCAGTGAAACGAGTTCTGAAAATAACAGAAAACTTAAACACGCACCCTAATCCTCTTCGTTCTCAATAACAAATTTGGGTACCCTGTGCTTAATGGGACACCAGTCATTTTTTTATTATTAATTTTAGCAAAATCGACATTTTATTTCGTAATTCAAACACGTTTAATATTACAATGAATATGTTTAATACGAATCAACCGACTGGTGTTCCGTTAAGCACAGAGTACCCAAATTTGAAATTTCATTAGCCTTTCTAACCATTACTTATTACATATACATTGAGAATTTTATCAGTATTATGTACAAATACATCTATAAGATATTTTTCATCAAAATTATCTATTGATTATTTTACGTAATGATAAAGAAAACGAATCGATATATAAACAAACGTTTTACGAATAAATTGTGTAAAATAATCGCACAAAAGTTACAATCGAATACACCAAGCACGTAAGAAAAAATACACATTTTTTTTTTTTTTATTACTTAAATATTCATGTCCACACTAGAATTTTCCCTATTGATTAATTAATAACGAAAAAATTAATTTTATCACCACTCAACATAAAATCATCGAGAATTTTATTAAATACGTCACGAATATAAATTAAAATGCATTTCGTTCTTCAATTAACTTTCTCGACAAGATAACCAAACACCAATAACGCCTTGCTAAGCCTAACACAACATTATAATGAAACACTTCCTTCGTGTTTTTTCTCTAAGACTGCAAATAATAAATGACGTAGAATTAAACGAAGAATATATCGGCACGATTTTTTGTAGTTTTTAATACGTCCGGAAGGGAAAATGATTTAAAATCTTTTGTTAGAATCCAATCGCTTCATCTCTTATTCAACATACACTTCGTCTGTAATTATTAGTCATCGAGTCCAAAAATACTTCGCTTACGATATTTTATACGTTTAAAATACGATAGAATTTGTTGATGTCACAAAGATACTTTTCCAGTCATAATAATATATGTAATTAAATTTTCAGTCACTTACTTTTTAATAAAAGACAATCAAAAAGTCGCTAGCGTTCCTTATCGATTCGAAATACTCTCCAACCCACTAAATACAGTTGACGTAATGGTTGAGATAATCTCGCTTCCAGAAATTCGAAAATTTATTTCGTTTTTTTTAAGTAAATTATCTTATTAATGAGAAAATCGAATAAATTATTAAGAATAAAATATATTTAAAATTATGTGTTTTCTTTATTCTGTAATTAATTAATTTATTTATTTATTTTTAATATACTAAGGTGTTGAATTCGAAGCAATGCCCGAAACATCGACCGGAGAAGAATTCTTGTCTGCAAAATTTATACAGGCATCCATCCCTTGATTAACGTGGTTAATTAATAATTCTTAAATAGGCGAAATAAACACAACTGTTTTAATTGTGAATAATTAAGAAAGACGTCTTTTTTTTAAACTCTTTCCGCTCTGTGGGCACTAAGAAGGTCTCTTGTAGCGAGCCCATCGTGGGTTCGGCCAGGTCCCCAATGGGGCGGATGGGTAGTGATGGCCCAGGGCCGACATATCCAGTTGGACTATCCCTCGAAAAATTCCTGGTGATTTTTCGACTCGTCTGGAATTTATCCCGGGTTGCCCAAGAGCGGTAGGCTTGATCCCTCGACCATCCGTCATTAAGAAAGACGTGATAAATATTAGTAGTCTAACTATTGGAAAAAGAAACCTTTACTTATAACTTTTTATATGCTCAGCAGCCTGACGAAATAGAGTCTGTCTCCTCGAAGTTAACTACGGTCCTTCACCCGAAAGCTTTGTAGATTTATAACCTTTCAAGTTGTTTCTGCCGAGACATTATTTTCTCTCGATGGCGTCTTTTTCACTTCTAAGCAGTGAGGAAATTGTAGGGTTCTTCTAAAACCTTACAATTTCCTCACTCCTTAGAATTCTGTGCTTACTACATCGGTTTATCTCATTGTAGATGGAACAGAGGGCCTTCTCGTAGGTGACTACCACACCCTGTGATAGAACTGCCTGGGCTGAATATTCGGAAAGGATAGTTATCTACAAACTATTCGGGATAAGGACGGAATGAATATAGATAGTCCGTACATCCCAAATGTTTTACTTTGGATATCAATTGTTTTATTTTTTGAATAATATGACTAATTAATTTTTTCACTGCCCTTCTATTGGTTTAGAGTTATTTATGACTATTATAGCTTTGATAACATAATTTGGTCTTAACAGAAAAATTAATCACAAAACGATTATTGATGTTAATGTGTGAAATTCCATTTAATCCATGCAAGGTGTGATTACCAGAGCCCCTTCGGCCGCCAATTTAAAGTCTTTTAATCTTTAAAATTGGCGTTTCCACTTCCCGGGACGAGGACCCAGGGGTTGGATTTGTGGGAAGCGAGTGTTCCAGTTGTTTCATTGTGTCGAATTACACAGAACGAGGCGCTTGACTTGTAAAAGCGTGAATGCGAGAATTCGAGCAAAGGTTAAACGGTGTATATCTTCGTGTACAGTCGTGTTATGTCCGTGCGTGTATGTGTATGTGTGTGATTGAAAAACATCTTCGGCATGTCTATAAACAGAGAAATAGTAAATTACGACACGAGAATAAGACGTGTTAAAAAAATGAAACCAAAGAGTTCTTACCATCGGAGATTTCAGAAAATATTCACTTGTACGATAAATAACCACTTCGTCTTCATTGTGGTAAAGTTGGAGAGGGAGATTCTTCTCCTTCCCAAATATTCCTACAGAACACAAAGACAGTGAGAAAACGAGAAGTTCATTCATTTATTACCTAAGGTCAACATTATTACCTTTATCAAGCAGCCTTTGTTTCCGAACAATGTTATGAGAAGAGCGAAGGACCTGACCTAGCCTAACCTAACCGGCTCAATCCTCAATATCTGTTTGGGAAGACAGGTCGGCCGAATGTGACCACCCGGCCGAATTGTGACCACTTGGAATTCACTTGGCCGAATTGTAACCACCCGGACGTCGCGTCCGGGTGGTTACAATTCGGAAGTCAAATCCATTGTCGTCGATCGAGTGTCACGTTTGGGAGACAAGTCCGTGAGAACATCCGGGTAAGAGAAGGCCACGTCCGAATAAAGATGTCATGTCCGGGTGAAAAGTGTCGAATCCAGTCAGAATGTCGCATCTGGGTGCAAAGGACGAGTTGGGGAAAATCGAACAGGATCACCGCCTAGGCCAAGGGAACCGCAGCCTCCCACAGCAACAAAACCGCGGTTCCTCGACTTCGGCGGCGCTCTCCTCCGATTTTTGCCCGTTCCGACTTCCGAAAGACGATGGCGATGTGGTCGCGAGCGCGGACGAAGAGCAGACCTCGCGAAAATAAAAAGTGACGTCGAACTCCAAGAGGACTCGTCACTCCCTACGCCTTCCTTAACAAGGCCTATGGCCGGCTGATTCCTGACGACCTTGGCCAAGTGGAATGGACTCAGAACTCTCCTGCCTCCCGGAGAGTGCCACACCACACGCACTACGGGAAGATCGTCACCACCCTCTGCCTCTCGCTCGACGGTCTCCAACGACACCGAACTAATCGATTCGGCAGAGACCCAGTCGAGCCCACGGTCCTCGAACGTCTCATCGGAGCCGTCCGAGGAACCCCCTCTCTCCGGCGCCACCTCATTCTTCCGTCGGAACCTCCGGCGAAACCACGCAAACATCTTCATTCTGAAAAAAGGAAAATTTGCAATTAGTCGATTAAAACAAAAGCTTAAATTAATGTGTAAATTCTTCCGAGAAAAGCAAAATTCTCACCGCAGCCGCCCTTTTAAATCTAAAAGATTCGAATCCAAAGCGCAAACGGTCGACCATCGAACGATGTCTTCTGGGACCGATTCTCCAAGTAATATTAAATAAATTCTTACGTCTAGGGTCAATATGGACTAAGGCTTACCTGAAAAATCTTTAATCTTCTCTGCAAAAGTCCGCAAACCGCAAAAAAAGCAACGCAATCGAAGAGCACAATAAAAGCACATCGAACCAGAACCACAAACACAATCGAACTGCGAATCGTCATCTGCAATGTTGCCACGCCGATTTGCTTGCCATCGGTAGATTACTTGGGCAATTTTCGGTAGATTTCGGTAGTTTTTCGGTAGATCGACTTTTTGTGGCAGTAAGGGGGTTGCACATAAACAATAACACTTTTTTCGTTATTTATTTTATTATAAACTATAAAAAACAACAAAAAACTAACACAGAACACTTACATAAAAAAATAATAATTTACTAATTTAAGTAGGTATATTTTGTCTTCTTTTTCTAACAAAAAATTACCTTTTATTTATCGGATATTAATAATAATAATTATTATTATTCAATATCTTNCCCGAAATTCGTTTGAATAAATATCTTTTTCGTCCATTTTCGGCCATAGCACGAATAAATCAAATTCTTAGGATTTCGATATTATTTGGCTTTTCGGAAAGATTCCTCGGTCGCCGTCGGAGTTGAGGGTTTCGCGTATTAATGCGACATCAAAACTGGATAAAGTTAATATTAAAAATACCGAAAAACCTTTATAATACGGCCGAACGAAAATGAAGTCCGAGACAACGGGGAAATTGACACAGAGGATAAACAGGTTGAACCAGGAAGAAACGACCATTCTTTCTCCTTGAATTTTTGACTTTTTAAAGGATCTCTCCCCTAAATTCTTAATTCGATCGGCTAATCAATTAGACTTGGTCCGCAAGAGTCGAACCAACTTTAAAACTTTTGCTCGTATCTCACGCCATAATGTTTTCTTTTCTGACAGCTAAGAAGTTTTCTTTATGTCTTCATTACTTACAACTCGACAATTCTACTTTCATAGAAATGACACATTTATTTCCAAATTTTGTCATGTTTACCAGAGTCAAATCTGGATTTTTCCGATTGACATTCTAAACATTGCAATCCGTTAGTTCGCGTTGACCTCATGGGGCTGCAATTTGAAAAAATTGTAGACCTATAAATTCCCACTGTCGTCCGCCCGGCTATCTTAATCTCGAGAACGGAGTTAGATGAGATCCGACCAGATATGGAAACCTTAGGGAGAAGAGGCCCCAATTAACTATATATGAACTTCCGATGCAAACCGGAGGTCACGTTTTTTCAATTCAAAACTTCCCTTATCACAAAAGCAGTTAATAGATGACCGGCACGATTCTATTGTTAAAGGAAAAGTATGATGTACAGAGGCAAGCCACTACTAATTTGAAATAGAGAGAATATATGTTAAATTAAATTATTTAAAAATATGATTAAAAATTGCAGCCCGGCATTGTGACGACGTCACAATAAATACTTGATGGTAGTTATAGTTTGCTTGTGAAAACTTTGATTTCAACTTGTGAAAATATTTACAATGAAAAACCACATTTTGACCTTTGTCATGTTATGAACCACAATATTGAAGTTAAAATTATTCTAAGAGATAATAATTAGAAGTTAATAATTGTGGGAAATGGAAGAAGCGTTGCATTTGCCCGTCAAAAATAGACAATGAATATGCCAGTAAGTGCAATAGACTGATATGTAGAAACTACACCATTAGGATGTGCACAAATTGTGCAGTATATCCATCATTGTGGATAACAAAAGTATATTAAAACGAACTAACCTTTTGTTCGTTATGTTGGAGACACTGAAACCGTCAGCGAGAATATTAAAATTAATATAATTTACGATAACTGTAATAGACTAATACTTTAGTATAACATTAAATTAATAGTATACTATCAATTAGTACATCAACTAAACATAAAATTTAATTACATTAAATAAAATTGCAATTAATTTACAGATCATTAACGTAAACAATAAAATACGAATTTTTTATAATAATAATATAAAATATAAGCAGATAAATAATATACCAAACAGAAGTACACATACTTCCGTATTAGAATTATTGGTTTTCATATTTTTAATACAAACATTAGATTTTATACGAATTTTTTTCATCATATAAGTACATTTCCCCCAATGACCTTGGAATTGGCCTAACTATACCAACTCCTGGAGGTTTCGGCATTCCGAGAGAAGAAGAAGGATAGGGATTAGAAAATTACCAATCAGAAATGTTCATTGTCAAATAGGCGAAATAAAGAGAACTGTTTTAATATTGAACAAGGAAATTAGCAAGTCTCGGGGTTTAAGTTCAATGTTGAGCCCAAGAAATGTTTGTTTGTTAAGTTACGGCAACGCAACACTTGGGAAGCGATCTACCAAGAAAAAATACCTTCAGGGAAGTCTTTTTAAAGGAAACTGGTTCCTATTTAGGTGTTACAGACGTGGAGAAGACCCGAAAAACTCCACGTGACCAGCGAGGCGTGAACCCACGACCGAACTTCTAGTATTAGTAGGGAACGAAGACCACTTGGCCACGGGTGGGCACTTAAGCCCAAGAAACGAGCAAGCCAATAGCATAATATATTTCATGAAACGAACTACGTAATTCATTTGCTTAGTTATCCGCTTGTTTTCTAAATTCATTTGCGCTTTCAAGTTGAACATTCGCTTTTTTAATTCCTAGTGTCGGAAAATTAGTCAATGGTATCAACATTCATTAACTATACCTATGGATGGCCGGATGGCGGGCGGTTAAGGGACAACCTACTCCGTTCTAAGTGAGCCAAGATTGAATCCAGATGAATAGAAAAATCCCCGGAATTTTTCGGGAATCCGTTCGGATATGTCGGGCCATGTCTCTCACCACCTGTCGCCCCATTGTAGGCCAGGCCAAACCATAATGGATCTGCTAAAAAATTCTCTTAGTGCCCACAGCCCAGTGCCCAGGCAAAAAATTTCAAAAAAATCTATCAACGAATTGAGGGCTTTTCCAGCTTTAATGAAATTTTATTTTTATAAATAATTGTTATATTATTAATCAAAATAAATAAAATTGTATGTGGCGCCATCTGTTATGACACTCCATTATAAAAGCTTTATATGTTTTTAATTACAGTATTATAAAATAGGAAAAGGCTTAATTTTGTGGATGGAGGTGAGTTTTATAAAGCACTGCAAATGCTAACAACAAATAAAATCTTTATTAAGTCCCATGGCATGTGACCACCTATTTTTTATCCCTCCATCCCCTCCATCTTTCACAACCAAAATATAGTAGTATCAATGGTCTTTATATACAAGCTACTGTGTCAAATTTCGTTTCTTAATCTTCATCCCATCCTGAGATATTAAATGAAATAAACGCCAACGCATACACACACATCTACGAATTTTTTTTGCCTTTTTTTTGTACTTTTTTGGGTTCAGGAGGTCTCAAAACGTGGAGATTTGAAAAAAAGTCGAAGGGTAAAATTTGACGCGATTGCATACTTTCCCTTGTTATATATGCATAACAGCCAGGAAAGTAAAAATGCAACCAATCTTGTTTTTAAAAAATAGGCTAGAAATGTTCTCAACGAATACGTTTAACCTATACATATATAGGTTAAACATATTCATTAAACGTACAGTATTCAACCTAAACATTAACCTATACATATAAATTAAGAAAATTCCCCAGAAATTTCTTTTCTAATTAAAACTAAAAACGTATGTTTATTCTTTTTTCAACTAGCTTTTGCCACAGTAACAATTTTTATTTTCATAATTAGTCGTTAGCTATAGTATGGGCACAGGACCATGCGGTAGATTTTCTCAGTATAATGCAAGTCTTCGAAATTCCGCCCCTTAAATGCTGCTTATGCTACCCCCTTACGGTTCCATCTCTCTGATTACTTTAAACCATTATACAGTCGACCCCCCTATAACACTGTTGATAATTCTGTTTTATATGAATTCCATGTTGTACGAGTCACTTAGATTTTACAAATGCGTGAGCCGTTCACAGCCCGGCACACGCATTTGTAAAATCTAAGTGACTCGTACAACATGGAATTCATATAAAACAGAATTATCAACA